AACTGGAAAACCGCCTATGACAACCTCAGAAGGGTCAGAGCACGCGCAGTGAGCCAAAAGGTGTGCTATTGTTGTGGTTCAAACCAACATCACCTGGCTATTTGTCCCAACACTGAGAAGAAGGACGAGTTGATGAACTCATTCTCTCACATGGAGGACACTATGCGCAAGTGCTTCACCGAGGACGACAAGGCAATCATCCGACGTGATGTTGAAAGCCGAAAGAGGAAAGCAAAGTCATCCAAAGACGTCGAAGACGAGGACTACATGGATGTGGATGATGAAGATATTGAACTTCCCGAAGAAGAACCGGAACTAGGAGGTAAGGTACCACCTCACTCTCCGAGAGCCAAAGGTAGACCACACTCGTCAGACTCTGCAAAAGAGGAATACGCGAAAGCGGTCGAGGCAACCAAGAAGGCCTTTGGGAACGCCAGTTTCGTCACCAGATTCAAAGAGCCCGTCGACCTCTTTGACATTGCCGATGACAAAGAAGGAGGAGAGTACAGGGTCGCAAATCACAGGGTTGATAGATCAGGTCCTAATGGAAAGCGGGAACTTGATGCACTTATTCAGGAGGCTGCAGCACTCGGAATAAAGATGCCCAAAGTGAAGGACCTTGCTCCTGACCCACAACAAGTTCAAAAGGTTGGATATCGGCAGATTGAGGTGACTTGCGATAGAGGAAGCATCGAGATAATTCCACAGTATGGAGTTACATTCTATGTGGAGTACTGGAATGGACCGAAGAGAGATGCAACTTTCACGGATCCACCAAAGATGAACCCAGCAACTCGCATCGACAAGTTCAGCGAGGAGAGTCAGCGGGTCAACGAGGTTAGCCATAGACTCAATAGACTACTCAGGCATGGAGTGGGAAAGCATAATGGGATTCAATCGCACCGCGGTCGAAAACCTCATGTGTCCCCGAAGTGCAATGAGGGTGGATGGGTGAACATCGATGAGATCCTGGAATATGACCATGTCTTCAACGATGGTGTCGATATCAGTACTATCTCAGATGATCAACGTGAGCAAGATGTCAAGACAGAGCGATACCAGTATTTACGCAAGGCGATGTGGCATGCAAAGAAGTTGCAGAACAGAGTACGCTATCAGATTGCCGCCATTCGTATCTCAAGGGAGGATGTCTCACTCGAAGAGGAAAGGCAATACTGGGCAAACCTCATGTATTACAGCACAGACGCACCGTCATTTCTGAAGCATGAACGTTGGATCGTTCCTTGTGCAATTCGAGCTGTTGCCTCTCACAATTCTGGAAGAGAGACTGTTCTTGAAGAGGATGTGTCAATATATCCTGTGTGGACTTCACATCTCATTCCAGAGAATGTGGCAATGCAGCTTGGAGGAAGCTTTCACATGACATCGTTTTCCAATATTGAGTCAATCATGAAACTAGGAATTGTCCCTGGTGGAACGGAGGGATATAGAGGTAGTGTTTTCTTCAACCACTTTGCGCCGTGGGATGATCGATCATCAAAGATTCTGAGATCAAGATGGCCAAGAGTGGGAATGCCCGTTTGCCTTTATGTTCCAATCATGACTTTGAGGAAGCTTGGGGGAAGAATTTCGGAGAATTCCTACACTGTTGTTTTTAGAGAAGTTCCATGGAGATGTGTACGAGGTGCTTGGTATTGGGACGACTACGTTCAGGCATGGAGGAGACTCCTGCTGGGAAGCACTGGAGAGCAAGTTGTTCTAGCGGCACGTCATGGACTTTGGGTTGCTCAGAAGCATACCATCCTCGAGAGAGCCGACGAAGTCACGAAGTCAGCCTCGGCGACAGATGACAACGTCCAAAAGCTCGTGTCCCTTATCGATGAAGTACAATTCGATGACAATGGAGAGCTGATCGAGGATTCCATCAGTGAGGAAACTTGGGACGAAATCATCTCCAGAACATGTGAAGGGTATCGCAACGTGGATGGCAATATTTTGTGTCCATCATGTATGCATTTGACTTCTTCATCTTTGTCCGTGTGTCTATCTTGTCAAGGCAGGCTACTCTCGTGTGGTATTCGCAACACTGTCATTTCCGATTCACCCGTTGATCTTGTGAGCGACGATGAAGAGGAAAAGAAGGAAGAGAAGGAGCCTGAAGATGATGATCAAGATATCTTGGACCAGGCCACTATGGACGAGATCAGAAAGGCTTGGGAAGAAGACATCGCTCAAACTGAAGCAGCTGACGACGACGAGGACATGGACAATCTAGATCCTTCCAAACCGTCTGATGGTGCAGAAAACTTCAAGAGTGACAATGTCGAGACCCCATCTTTCAATGAGGACGAGATCGACTACGGTCGTGATTCTGATCTAGAAGATGAAGACGAACGAAACGTGATCATCGAGATCCAGAGGAGCACACAACAATATGAGGGGAAGAAACGTCAAGATGGTGAGCCCGAGGATGAAGACGTCACCGACGACTTACATCCGGAGGCGAATCGACCGACAGATCGTGATGAACCGGGATACTATGCACAGCATGGAGCGACCGAGTTCAATCCCGAAGAAGGAAGAGACAACGAAGATCTCCCCATCTATTGTCGAGTACCGGAACCTCGAATCTATGCGCATCAAGAGAGAGCCTACTGTCAGGACGTCTCCATGAATGCATCGGGTTTGATGGATAGGTATGTGGTCAAATGTGTGCTGAACATGATCTCCCTGATGTACAAGAGCTACTATTGCACCAGCCTTACCGACTTCAAAGCAAATTGGAAAAGGAAGCGTCTGGATGTGATAAGCAAGTTCGGTACAGAGGATTTCACTGAAATCGATGACGATGGGAGACCATTGGATCCAACAGATGACATGATGAGAATCTTTGCCAACGAAAACAAGATTACGATTGAGGAGGCCTGGCACCGATTCAGAGGAGAGCGATTCATTTGCAAGGTGGCACTCGTGATCCTATCATTTGGTCACACTCCGTACTCCTTCAAGAAGGAATATGGCAACTTCGAATACTCCACCAACTTGACTGACGTCCAGCTTGAGGAGTTGAAAGCGAAGAAAGCCAGCGCAATGACTGAATTGGTACAGAAGTGCATCCATGCGATTTATGGTTGTCGGACATATTCTTACTTTAGAACCGACGTTACATCACCCAACCACAAGGTGATCGATCCTCTGGACATCATGTACTCGAGAATGAAGAGCAAATGGGAGAAGTCTATTCTGCTGATCATTGATCAACATGAGATCAGGTTGCCCCCACACGCTCAGAATGTCGTAGAGTCAATGGCCAGAAATCCCAACATTGGACATACAGAGAGATGGATGAGCGTGGTAGAACAGAAGCATGTTCAAGCTCTTACCGATCGTCTAGGCTTTGGAGATAGGGCCAAGGAAATTCAGGGCAAGAAGAAGCAGGCAGCCAAGGCAACAGCTAAGTCAACATCAACGACTAAGTCTGAAGCGAAAGCAGCATCTTCGTCAAGAGCTGAGGCAAAGCCAGCATCTACACCCAGAACCGAGGCCAAACCGTCGTCAGCACCAAGTGAGGAGCCAAAACCTTCAACAGCACCTAAGAGTTTCGGGCCCTCATCAGCAGAGGAGAGCAAGGCGAAGGCTGCTCCAAAAGCCAGACCGCGTGATAAATCACCATCCAGTGCTACCGATGTGTTTGAGCAAGCTTTGCAGGAAGATCTTGCCGCCAACGCACATGCAGCAGAAGGTACAACTTCTTCATCATCCCGAGGACATTCCAAAGGAGGAGGCCAATCTGGAACATCTTGGAGGCCGGCGCTAACGCAAGAACGTCGCGAAGTACCTCAACCTTCTGAAAAGGGGAAGGGAAAGAGCAAGTCCAAGGGAAAGTCCAAGAAGGGAGAAGATGATCGGCGGGATGCTCAGGGCAGCTGGGATCATCGTGGATGGAGAGGTTATCGCCAGTGGTGATTTTTTTGAACGACTATGAGGATACCATGCAAACCAGGGAGGAAGTCATTCACCGGATGTCTATCTGACCTGAAACGCTGTAAGTGTATCATTGCAAATCATCAATCCGATTTGATACCATGAGCATAATGGAAGGCAGACAGTCACCGACTGTCTCTCCGACTTGCCGTTCTGTAAGTGTATCCAAACCAAAACCTACATCTTTTGAGAAGTGTGAAGTCAGTTGCCGATGTGACATCTACGTGGAAGTCACCAGTTCGGATCTACATCAAAGCGATGCTCTTTTGAGTGGATACTGAGCGAGGCCTCGTGACTGTCTCACTTGTTCAATTCGATTTTCATAGGTTCTGAGCCATAGTTGCACACTTTATATGTAAAAGTCCGCTTTAGTCCAGCATGTTTCGTAGTATGAGCCTCATATGAGTCTCGCGGCAAATCATACAATTTCTTTTGTAGCACTTACATCCCTAAATTTTCGTGTGTGATCGGAACATATTGTTGCCGTTCACATGGGGGGTGCGAATGGAAGTGCAGCGACACGTACAGTGCAACTTGTACATATATATGTACCATATGTACTTTGGCTCAAGGATCAAGCGACTAGAAAAGGTGCGGTTTCCGTTCCGACGCTACGCCGCTTATGGATCGTCAGTGATAGCTTCAAACTTCGCTGATTAAGATCCACTCGCAGGTTTCAATATCTTCACGACAATACAAACACCTGTGTCTTATGCCTTTGCCAATGGGTTGGTTCTTGACCAGAATGGAAGCTCGCTGCCTAACAGGGCAGGGTGTTCGCATTTGGGCTTGTCTTTTTTTAAGGTGTCCAGTTTATGTAGGGCTGGGATGTTCGACTTAGGCGAAGCATACCCCGAAGCATACCCCCGAAGCATACCCTGAAGCATACCCTCTGGAAATGCTACTACTTTAGTCTTCACACTGTGCGAAGCATACCCCGAAGCATACCCTCGAAGCATACCTCCGAAGCATACCCCATAGTCAAACATCCCGGCCCGGGAACCTTAAAAAAATACAAACCCATTTGTTGCCAGGCTTTGTTGCCCGTCTCTAAGGTAATTTTGGTGAAGTTGGATGTAAGGGACACTGGGGCTGCAGACAGCTTGACTGGGTGTGATATAACAATTGTTGAATTTATTGCTAAATTAGTTAAACCAATTTTTGACTTGTATCTCAATCTCGTCCATGTATACTATATACATGATTGTCACTTTAGAACCTGGGACAATGTACGGGTGAACAACTTGTATCCTCCTTTTGGCTCGTCTTCCCTGAGGATGCGGAGAGCCGGGCGAACTTTGTTCGTGAGGCCCGTGAGAATTCCTGCAACGTCCTGGTGAACAACGCTGGCGTCGACAGGACAGGATCGATTTTTAATGCTTCTATAGCTGTCCCAATATGCTCGAATATTGTCACCATCGACACATACGCATACATAATTTTTAATGCAGCAGCATCTATAATTATATAGCATAAAGTCATAGAGGTTGCGGTACCCTCGCAGTGTTCCGATTCTGTTCTTTGCTAGTTGCTGCCATTGTTTACTTGTTTCATTGAGTTACTTAAGAAAGCCAACGCATGCTTGAAGGAATGCGTTCTTTGAAAAGATGAGCGATGATGAGGTCACTTAGGCTTAGACTTGACCCACCACTGACCACTTGAAAGGGAAAATCTCGCAGTCAGATCCTTTACAACAGGTTGGATGAGAACTCATTTTGGGAGCATCAGAGGCGAATATTGAACACTTGTTCGGATTATTTGATGTAAGATCGTCACCCAAGAAACTGCAACATACTACAAACAAAAATCACAACCCATGTCAAACGATGAGACAGACCTCAGAACATTACACTACACATTTTGAGCCACTTCTCCGAAGGTTGATTTGGTGATGGAGACAAACCTCTTGAGTTGCGTAAAGCTGACCAGAAGCTTCCTCAACATGATGCTGGAAGCGCTTGCAGCTGAAGCTTTATTCGACTCCAATGTGGTTGTTTCGGCCATTCCAATTCTTACTTCACTCATTTAACATCAAAATGTTACAGTAAGAATTAGTAGCGATGCCAGGAGCCCCTATTAGCGTCCTTTGCTCCTAGTAGCGATGCCCTTTGCTCCTAGTAGCTGATGTCTCTGACTTTTTGCTCAAAGAAACAACTCACATCTCATCATCCCTTTGTATTTGTTCTCGATCCATGAGGCCAAGGGAGGGCATATTGTTAACATGTGCTCCGTGGCGTCGCAGGCACTAGCGTCAAAGGGATTTGAAGGGAAAAAGCTCGTAGTAGCGTCCTTGCTCCTAGTAGTAGTCTTTGCTCCTAGTAGCGATGCCCTTTGCTCCTAGTAGCTATAAGGTAAGCAATGATGGTCAATTTGCAAGAATGACTGGTTGACTTCTACTGCTTAATGTGAGAAAGCTAGACTGGTAAAGAACACGTTGTATTTGCCAGCCGCAGAACGATATTCAGTAACTATTACTTCACACGAGAATCTGTCTTCATCAACTTGCGATTAAAGCATCATTCCTGTACTTTTTCCCTGGAAGATTTTGAGCACGTCAACCCATTGGCAGTTGCCCGTGCCCTTTGGTGCCATCTATGCCACTTCAAAGGTGTCTTGGAGCTGAGATACAGAGGTGTGAACAGCAAACATGGCAGGTTGGTGTGATGTGTGTTTGTATATAATATATTAATATATATATACATACGTATCCCTCAAAAGCCCAGCCGAAGGTACAGTACTGTACAGCATCGCAGAGCACATAAACTGAAAACACGTCGATTTTACCCGCTAAATGGGAACTTCACTTTAGCGTTGCAAATTCCAATCCATGTGTGGACTCGCAATCCCTTTCTCAGAGTTGAAGAGCTGGCTACCACGGATGTGGAGGATGCAGCTTCCAAAAGCATTCCCCTTCAAATCGTGAAAAGAATGGTCGATCTACAGAATTGACTTGTTTGTGCCATCTCCAAAGTCTAATTTTGAGCTTCTTGTGACACTTTGATGGGATATAGGCGGTGATTTGCACGTGCTTACCTAGGCTGGGCTGCTGGGATTCAGTGCTTCACTTCGAGCAGAGATGATCTATGAGAAGCACTTTGGCCGTGAAAGTGCGCAGAATAGGACAACCAGCTCCGGAAACAAATTCCGCTGTCAACACACGATGGAAATCCAACATTTCATGATTCATCTATGCAATTGATTACTAGTTTGTGTACATTAAGTATATATATATGGAGTAGATTGGACTAGTTTGTGGCTGGATAGATGTAATGCAGGGGCAGTGGAAATTGTAGGCAGGCAACCAAGAATGCTTGTTGATTAGACTAGCCCATGGAGGAGAAGAAAAAGCGGAAATTGCTTGGTGACAGTCTTTGCCAGGTGCCTCTGGTAGGGTGCTTGGTGTCCCGTGCTTCTGTTTATGCTTTTGATTGTGGTCAGGCTGTGGCTGTGTCGTGTTTTTTTCTTTGTTCTGGTTGGCTGCCGCGGCTGTTGCTCCTGCTGTTGTAGTGCTTTGTAAGTTGTTTTTTTTGCATTTTGCTCCGAACATGAACATGACAAGCTGTCTCAGGAAGCCTGTCACCGTTCACTCCATTTGTCCTGGACTGGTTGTAGATGCTGGCATGGCTTCTGACCGCGAAGAGCGACTAGGAGAGCCGAATGACATCTGGTAATTGGTACTGGTTTCTCAGGTGATCATTTGATATGTGCCTGCAGAGGCATGCCATAGATATCCATAGAGGCCTGTCACCTTCAGTAAACATGTAGTCATGTGTTTACAGATTCTTAGGCACTGCTGCTGTGGATTCAGATGCAGGATCCGGGACAGGTGAGCCCAGCATCACCAATGATCCTTCAACTGCAAACAACTTTGTGTCAGATCACTAAAGCAACGCTTTGCCCAAAATATCAATAACATATTCTGCTTTGCGGACTCAAGCAAGAGAACAGTGTCTCCACACCCGGCAAACAAAGGCAGCAAAAACACCCGTGCAAAGGTTCCAAGGCTCCGGGTGTTGTGAAGCTAGACGAACTATGTCCAGCACGCCAGAGGCATGCAGTTTTAAGCAGTTTTGCCACCATTTCTTTGAGCAAACAGGTGAAACTCATGTATCAGTGTACCGCGAGGACTCACAATCAGAGAAGCCGGGAGGTTGGTGGGTTGGACTACTCCAAAGAGGGTGGCTGAAGCAGTGATTATGGCTATCGAATATGAGCCTTGCCAAGGAGTTTAGATTGGCCAAAGGACCCCCCACAGACGACATCAAGAAGCGCAGAATGACTGCACACGATCAGTCTGACAGTGTATTCGATTCCCAGAATATCAAGCGTGTACCATTGTGATTTCCTCCACGTGAATCAACCTTGCTTGACATCCAGAATCCTCTGCAAGCTTGCACTGGCAAAGCACTGCACTCCTCAGATATTCAGATGTTGCCTGTGGGCTTCCTTACTCCCAGATCTGAGGATGAGCCCGATCTTATAGCCGCTTGTCTTTAGTTTGTTTAACCACCCCAATTGAACAAAATCTGCAGCAGCCCAGACAGTACACTCCAACAACACTTAGCAGAATGTGTACCCTCCCAATGTGACTTTTGGCTTTGCTGTTCCAGTCCAATGGGCGCAGGTGAATTGTATTCCAGCTGCTTGACAAGCAAATGGGTGACGAAGACAACTGTGCAAAGAAATACAATTCAATTTGTTGTTTCCTTCTCCTGAGAAGCAACAATGAATCTGGCTCCATTGCCAAACCTACACAAAGTGCTGGATTTCTGCAGAATGCTTGGATAAGAGCAGCCATTGATGCCGTAATGCAGCCGCACAAAGGTTCGAGTTGTCTTTGGCTTCATGTGCTTTTTTCCCCGGCTCGCGGAGAATACTATGCTTCTATCTTTTCTGCTACTTGGACATCAAACAATCGTCGCGCTTGTTGCGTGATCGCGTGCTTGTTCAAGTGTTCTTCTTTGGTGTTGGTACCAATCTATGCAATTCATCATCACGCCTTGGATATTGACATCCATCATGCTGAGGAAAGGAACAATTGTCGATCGTGTTGTGCGCTACTTCCGGAAGGATGCAGAGTTTGAGGCTTCCCAGAAGTGAATGCAGCGGTGGTCACAGAGAGTGCTTGGAACCGGCAGAACACTCCCAGACATAACGCAGCGGCTTTTCAAGCTATCCAAGGGAAGTGATGAGCATTCCTTTTTCATCCTTTTCCCAGAGTTGAATTCAGCCATACAAACTTCCAATTGCGTTTCTCCGGGTTGCCTCTCGCCGTTTCTGAACCTCGGTGACAAGTGTACTGTGGACGCCAACATGATGATTATTTCTATCTGTACATACATAAGACTTGGATTATAATAGTGGCAGAACATGCTGCCTTGACCACATCAGCCGCAATGAAAAATTGTCCTGTGCCAGTCGCGACTCGACGTTCAGGTGGTGACCCCTTGATTCATTGTGTTGCGGTTCAATTTTGGAACCAATTTGTTACAGTCATTCTGAGGAGCTATCCAAGGGGTGGTCCCACGAACCACCCACTGTCCAACCAGTTTATTGGAATTAGATCAAACAAATGTGTATCCAAACAGCTCGTCCAAAGAGATGGTCGATGTTGCCGCTGCAAGTGTCGGGCTTGGTGGCTTTGCCAAGGCCTTTATTGGTGCATGCTCTCAGGAGCAGGGAAGCCTGATTTTGCAAGATTGAAGTAGAAGCAGACATGCAATTCATGGGAATCTGACAGCAATATATTGGAACTCTATCAGATTACATAATTCCATCATATTCCATCACATTCCTCTTCAATGCCTCAGGCGCGGATTTGGTCAAAGTTGTGGTGTCGACCCTGCACGACATCTTGGACTGCCATGTGCTGGAAGTCCTAGCAAATGTCACATTGGAAAGCCGCAAAGCAGGTCTCTTCTAAGTATGGCTCCTTTTGTGATTGTGCCTGCATGCCCTCAATCTTGGGCGGTTAACAGGTCTGGAACAAGCCCAGACTTTCTCCAACACGTTTTATCTTCAAGACGGCCATGAATTCACTGGCATACTCAACACACTTTCAACTGCTTTTGACATATGTTTACTTGTTGTTTGGTCGGCATTTGCTGAGCTGCACCACACCCTGGAATTGGTTCGTTCCAAGGCCTGAAGAGGCGCCAGAGGTAGCCAAAGAGGGCTTCTTGCAAGCAGGTCCGCTTTGAAGATGTCGAGTCGAAGAGTGAGCATGTGGCTTTTCAAACATGCAAAGCAGCTTCAGTGCTGTGGCTTTTCTTCGTTTTGTTATGCTTGCTTCCTCTCTCCTCATGATGTTTTTTGTTCGCTCATTCGCCCTTTTCGCGGTCCCACAGAGTGAGGTCGTGCCATCCTCCAAGCATTGATGGACCCATTGGCCTTAGGCGGATGGAAAACGCCGATGGTTTACACTATTTTTTTTGCACGGGGCACACGACATGTTTGTATTAAATACATCTAGAAGTATCAGATGTAGGAATCATGTGCAGTGAAGGGCTGTTCAAAGCTTTCTTTCCGTGGCAACAGGAAGAGTGAGAATAAGACCACCACCATGCTTGTGTAATTTTGCTGCGTGCGACAAAAAAGGTCTTCTAGACAAGAGCAGTGGATGTCGTGAAACAACACTTGCAAGTGAGGTATGGGCTGGGATTCCGAAGTGAAGCGTCGCTGTGTGTCTACACTTGCAGCATGGCATCCCAGGCAGAGTAATATATCATTATATCAGCTTCCCAGGTTTGACTGAAGGCACATCACCGGCATTTGAGTCACACTTGTGCTTGCGAGCGTGAGAAATTGTCGAGGAAGTTTGAGGCAAATCAGTCAGGAAGTGAAAACTACAGATGCTCATTGAAGTATCATCACCGGCAAAGCATGGGCCCGAGGCTATCACACCTGAGCTTCTCCGGCGCGCACGCCAATGCCGGACCCTCAAGGGTTTCAAAAACTGGAGTTCTTGATGAAAAAGCGAATGAAAGGAACTTTGAAAGAGAGAAGCAACCAATGAATGCATAGACAATAGACACCCGAGACGTTTGGCCCGCAGGCGCACAGGGGGCTGAGGCCGGAGCATTTCATTAGCATTGGTAGCAGAACAACTAGCGGTCTTTGTTTTGGAAGAATCTAAGACCGGAGAAGTGCCTGGGATTTCGACCTAGAAGGACTGTTTCAAACATGCTTCAAATACTCACACCTGCTGAAATAGATACTGATTGTTAAACATTGTGAACATTTGGACTGAAAGTAACACTCGTTCTTGAACAATTGAACACGAGCGTTGATTTTTTAGCTCAAGAGAATGCTAATGTGGCAGGGAGATCCGCAGGTGCAGGCCACGCTTCGGGTTTTGTCGCTGTCAGTTCATGATAGTCCAGTTCAGTAAAGGTTGTGGAAAGTATCTTTGCATTTCTCGCCATGTTTGTGGTGTCATCGTTTGTTCACTGGGATCCCAAAATTGTTTTTGGATGATTCGGATGGCTTCGATTGGTTTGAGGACCTGCTCCAGACCTATGGCCGATTGTTGGTTCATTGCTTGGAGGCGACGAGATTCAACTTCTTCCTTGTTTTGAGATCTATGAAAGAAGTAGGACGAACTAGCTATGTTTGTTTGTTTTTTCTTAAAGCCCTTTTGGCCTGCTAGTTTGCTCCTAGGTGCTTCTAAAGGGAGGGGTATTGATTTTTGGATGTTTTTTCTTTTTTGTTTTTTTTTTGTTTTTCGTGGCTTCTGGCTTCTGGCTTCTGTGGCTTCTGGCTTTTGTGGCTTTTGGCTTTCGTGGCTTTCGTGGCTTCTGTGGCTTTTGGCTTTTGTGGCTTTTGGCTTTTTGGCCTATCCATCTATGAGTCTATACCTATCTATTTATCTATCTATCTATCTTTCTTTCTTTCTTTTGGCAGCTGTTCTCCTTTCTCTTTTTGTATTTGCTTTTCCTGTTGTTTTCGTTGCAGAGACGAAACCAAACAAGGAAGCAAGCAAGCACGAGCTGCTCACCTTTGGATCTGGTGTGCTGCTGGGGGGGGCGCTGCGCCCCCCC